AAAATAAGGGGTATAGAGGTAAAATGAAGAAAAATAAAGCCTCCCTGTATCAAATGTCAGATCATGTTGTAGAAAGAATACAGTCACTTCTGAAAGGTGTTGCTTTAATGTAAATACTAAACAGATACATCAGTCCTCAAAACTTCCTCCCACTATTTATCTTAAAATGTTCACGTAACAGTAAATGCCTCTTGTGAGATGACATATTAGTCCTTAGTCACTTCAATCTTGTATTCCCCCCAGGTAAATCTCACTAGCATTTGTTCATTGGGTAGGGTTTGGGACAAGAAACAGAATCATAATATTCTGGGCCCCATTCAGATATTTACGTGATCCAGCTACACTGTTAATCGTTCCTGGAGAACTCATTGCTTCTCTCAGTTTAAGAATGGAAAGAATGGAAACCTCAGGGAGTGGTTAACCACAAGAACTGAGGTTCAGGCAGTTTTCAGTAGCAGTTGACATAAAGATCTCAAATAATGTCAGGCCGCTCTTAAGGCAAAGCAAGTGATGCAGCATTTACTAACTAATCTTCTGATGTATTTCTACAGTCCAGTAGAGATGTCATGCTCTGCAGTGGATGGTGTGAATGTGGAACTAGCTCTCTCTAATTTTTCGCGATAAAGATTTGGACATTTTTTGCAGAGATGGACTGCAACGTGCTTTCGGAAAAAGACACAAAGGTACTTCCTAAATTTCTCTCCGACAAATGCATAGATCACAGGATTGATACAACAATGGATCATTGATACTGTTTCTGTCACTTGGATTGCTTTCTCCAGTCGACCTTTGATGTCACAATTTGTGTCAAAGAGTGAATTTTGAAATGTATGCAAAAAGGAACAAATATGGAATGGTGTCCAGAAAATGAAGTAAAAAATCATGATCATGAAAATAAGTCTGACTGCCCTCTGTTTTTTCTCATTCTTGCATCTCAATAATGTTTTTAGAATTTGTGAGTAACTGAAAATCATGATGAACATTGGAACAACAAGTCCCAGGATGTTCATTTTTAAAAGAAGGGATTGCTTCCAATTTATTGCAGCATCATTTGGATAGTGAGCACTGCAAGTGTAACGTGAATTTTCCTTTTGAGTTTTGTGAAATACTACCCCAGGAACAGAAGCAAAAATAGCCACAGCCCACGTGACAGCACTGGTGAGGATGCCGTAGGTCACTGTCCTGGCTTTTAAAGCAAACACTGCATGCACTATGGCCAGGTACCTGTCCAGGGTCAGCAGGATTATGAAGAAGATCCCGCTGTAGAAGCCCAGGAGGTAGATACCTGAGAGAATTCTACACAGCGCCTCCCCAAAAATCCAGTCATGAGCAGCATAGTAGGCCCAAAAAGGGAGAGAAAATACAAAGAGCAAATCAGAAATTGCCAAATTGAGGAGGTAGATGTCAGTCATACTCTTCATTCTCTTGTATTTTACCAGGATAAGGATAACAAGCATGTTGCCTGTGAGGCCAAAGATCACCACCAAGGAATAAAGGGGTGGCAGAAATTTTGTTGCAAAGTGCTTTTCATCAGTTCCCAAGCAAGGAGTTGAATCACCGTAGTCAAATTCTGTTGTCAGTGGCACCTCATCTAAGTCCATGGTGTGGTTTTCCATGGTGTGTTGGTCTGGAAGGGAAGAAAGAGATGTTAAAGTAGAGGAAAGTCCAAGCTTGGCAGTGAGGGGAATTCAAGGTGCTGATGCCCTCATCAGGTGTGTGCTTTGCGCTTGCACACATAAGCATTACTACATCAAGCAGTGACAGAGAATGAAATTGCAGACCCCCCTTCTGTGTACCTATCACAGAATCATATAATTGTTGAATCATTAAGGTTGTAAAAGACCTCTAAGATCAAGTCCAACCATCAACTCGACACCATCTTTCAACTAAACCATGTACTGAACTGCTACATCCTCACATTTTTTAAATACCTCCAGGGATGGTGACTCCACCACCTCCCTGGGCAGCCTGTTCCAATGCCTCACCACTCTTTCAGTACAGAAATTTTTCTTAATATCCAACCTGAACCTCCCCTGGCACAACTTGAGGCCATTTCTTCTCTTCCTACCACTGGTTATGTGGGAGAAGAGACTCCAACCAACCTCACTACAACCTCCTTTCAGACAATTGTAGAGACCAATGAAGTCTGCCCTTAGTCTCCCCTTCTCTAGACTAAACAACCCCAATTCCTTCAGCTGCTCCTTGTAAAACTTGTACTCCAGACCCTTCACCAGCTTCAATTTTTTCCTGAAAAGAATGGATCAGCAAATGTTTTGGCTTCTTATTCCTGTCCAGTAAAAGGGGAGGTCCTAAATGTGGGTGATTTTGTTTGTCATGTGTCACACTTCAAGATGTTTAGCTAAACATTGGTTACACTCTGAAGTGAATAGAGTCAGATCTGTTGGGACAGGAACAGCCCAATCCTTACAAAGAAAATAGATGTATCCAGACTGTGAAATCTGGAGTAATTATTCAGCCAGCTTTGTGGCAGCAGTGCAAGGAGACAGGCTGGTAGATGCTGAGCCTGCGCTGATCAGAGCTGGGCTCATTTCTCTTGAAACAACCAACCTGAGCAGGACTTGGAGACGCCTCATTAGTGGTGTCATACCATGCCTTGAATTTGCAGGATTAGCAACAAAACATGTCTGTGTGCATATGTGCACACATGCAGCAGTAAATAAATGTTGTGATTTGCAGCTCAGTTTCAGAATAGCATCTGAAATGACTTTGCTGCATGTTGGAGGTTTGCTGCATGTCATTTCCCACATGTACGCTGTCTGGTGCGTGTTTCCTCCTCAGGATAGCCTGTCAGCTGCCTGACCTCACCAGAAGCAGGGGAATGATGAATTTAACCTGAGCAGTGGATGGTTCAGGGCTGTTGTGCTCAGCAGGGCTTTCCAAGGGGATGGAGAGAGCCAGCAAGGCAGCATCAGGAAAACAAGAACATGGCAGCCCATGCTGTAGCCCTCACCCAAGAGGACCAGGCACTGGCAAGATGTAAATCAGTGCCTTCAGAAGTGCTGTGACATGGGTAGAAGAAACTGGCTGCTGCTCATTCTGGTTGTTGCTGACTTCCTGGGAGCCTGAATGCCTATGGGAATCAGGTCACCAGAGGTGTGGAAACGACCCTTGCACAGCACTAAACATACCCACCTGTTGGACCTGCTGTCCTGGGTGTTGCAGAGCAGCAAGTCAACTATGTTGGTCTGGGTTAAAATGGCAAATGTTGTGTCCTTTGCAGAGTGTGGGTCAGGCGTAGGCCATGGAAGTGTGCTGGTCTTAGGTAGTTCTGGAAGGAAAAGGGTGTGCAGTCCTGTGGAAAGAATGGGTAGGCAAACACCTTGGTAAATGGCATAAAAGATGGCAGGTGCTATCAACGTGGCCCATTAACACCTTTGTCTGTTGTGGCATCTTCCTGTCAACTGAAAGACCTCCCCTGTGCTCAGGGGTGAAATAAGTTTTGAATCTTTTTTCAGCAGCTGTTTATCAGCTGTGATTCAGTAGCTTTCAGGGAAGTTTTGTTATAGTGGGAGCAGGTAAAGGTTTGTGACTTGGACGTCACCTCTTTCTGTCACCAAACCCTCTCTCTCTTTCCCAAGTGTCTGCTGGGACTGTGAGCCAAATGCAGAAGCATAAATTTCTGTGATTTGGTCTCTAAAAATGTTAGAAGCTCTGACTTCTCATAGTCTGCAGAGAAAATCAAACAATTCCTTGTGTGCCACATGAGAAGCCAGGAAGAGGATTTTGTGAAGACGGCTATCTGAGGGACCAAATGTCATTCCTGGTCACTTAGTGGGGAAGTGAAATTGATGTGTTTGTTGCACACTCAAAAGAACTATTTGCTGCCTGGTAAGAGTGCTGTTCTTTCTTCCTGTGTCATCATGACTACATTTGTCAGGCACTTCATGGCAGATTGGTGACTGCTAAAGCAGATTGATGGATTCAAAATCCACCTTTTCCTGGCAGTTTGATGCCTGTTCTCTTGCCAAAGGCAGTGGATTGGTCCCAGCACAGAAGACTTCAGGTATTGTATCTGCCCCGACTTCCTCTAGGAACTCTGGCTGTGCATGTGGTGCAGCAACGTTTGCTCTCTTCCTGCTTTCAGCCTCGTCATGCCCTGTTTTCAATTATGAGGTCTACCCTGGGCTTTTGCAGAGACCACATTCTCATAACCACCACTTTATTCGCACTGCACTTGAGAACTTAGAGACTGAATGTAACTGAAAAAACTCTGCCTGTGGCTGGAGTGTCACAGGTGCAGGATTCTGGTCTGTTTTGTTCTTTGTAGAGGGTCAATGTAATTACATGATAGTTCATTCTGAGCAGTAGCATACAAAATTCCTGAAGCATCTTAAACTCGTCTCAGCTTACTCAGCAGTTTGAGGAAAAGATTATTTCCTGATACACAATTGCAGACTACTCAAGATCCAGAGGACCTCATTTTAATCTGGAGCATTATCTCAGTGGTTATATATATATAAAATACAAAAAATCTTAATTACCAAATTTTAATGCTTACACTGTGTTAAAACAATTTTCTCTGTGTTACTATCCACAAGTATCAGTAATATATACACACACTTACACATATATAAATATATGCTCACATATATATATATAATCATAGAATCATAGAAATATTTAGGTTGGAAAAGACCCTTAAGATCATCAAGTCCAACTGTAATCCTGACAGTACCATGTCCACCACTAAACCATATCCCTAAATGCCACATTTACATATCTTTTAAATACCTGCATGGATCCAGAGTCAACCACTTCCCTGGGCTGCCTATTCTAGTGCTTGATAACCCTTTTGGTGAAGAAATTTTTCCTAATATCCAATATAAATACATAAAAAGAAAGTACAAAATTTTAAAAAACTAGTTTGGAACTTATTTTCAGATTCAAAAGCAATAGAAAATAATGGTGATAGTAACAGAACTAAAGGCAATCACTTCCCTACAGATTTGTCTCCTTTGCTGTCCAAGTCTTTTTTCCTGTGATGGGTCAACACCAACCAGCAGCTAAGCCTTCATCTAGTCACTCACTCACTCCCTCCACAGCAGGATGAGTGAGAGAATCAGAAGAGCAAAAGAAAAAAAGACTTGTGTGTTGAGATAAAGGCAGCTGAATATGCAAAGGAAACAGAAGGAACCACAAGAGATGATAGAAGGATAAATGCTTGCTACCTCTCACCAAGCAGGCACATAGGCAGCTAGTTTCTGAGTAACACCCACTTTGGAAAAAATACACCACCATCACCACTCACCCCCACCCCTGGTTTTATTACTGAGCATGCCTTTATGTGTCACAGAATACCCTTTTGGTCAGTTTGTGTCACCTGTCCCAGCTGTGGTCACAAATAAGGGCCCCATAAAGGCTGCTGTGAAGAAAACAAAGTCCATACCAGCCAGACCCACTATGCTTTCCCACTACCAAATTTGGAGCTCCTCCCCTGTATAATTCACACTGATGTTGTCTAGAAAGACACATCTGTTATGGTTATTTTGTTTAGTGGCTATGGCCTGATGAGAAATCTCTGAACATTTGCATGGGATAGAAGTCAGATCCTCCTCTTCACAACAAGCACAAAACATTAAAAGTATTTTCTGAAATGCTTTCTAAAAAATTCCTTATCCTTTGCTCACAAGCAATGTTAATCACCAGGAGCTCTACAAAATGGCTCTGGCTAACAAATTGTATTGGAAGCTTTGTTTACATTTGATATTTTAAAAAAAAAAAAAAAGTTTATCTTTAACAATTTTTCCAATTTTCATGCAGAAAGGAACATCTTCTGCAGAAGCTGTCACCCTTGACAAGAAGTCTGGTTTGGGCTCTAAAATGATCTAGGCATGAATCTTCAGAATGAGTGTGTTAGCAAAGAAATCTCCAGGTCTATCTCTGCTCTTGTGCCTTAAGTATGAACAGATTCTTCTGAGAGATTATTATTGGGGAACTTGTGATTACTTGGCTTATTTCCCTCTTACTCTTTCCAAAATGACAAATATTCAGGAAATCTGAATTATTTTAATTTGTGGGGCTTTCTCATTTACTTCATGGACTGCTTGCAGCTGTCAGTGCCCACTGTCCTACGAACACACCAACTGCATGCACAGAAATTCTGGACAATTCCTGCAAAAGTAGGCAAATGAGTTAAACCTAGGGTAAAAATGTAAGAGAAGGAGAATTTTCTCTTTGGTGCCCTCCTTCCCTTCTAATTTATCCTCTGTGCTTATCATGCAAAAGACATCTAACTATATGAGCACTCCAGTAAAAGGCTACTTTCACTTCTCTTCTGGGGCTGGTTACGTTCTGAGTCTCCAAGAAGCTGGGTATAGTGAAGTGTGACCAAGCCCCGTGACAAATACTTGCACCCTAGGAAAGAGTTATTGCAGAGAAATTGGAGCTACAGATTGGATAGGAGATAGTTTTGTTTTCTTAATAATTGCCATGTTGTAAGCCAAAATAGATGTAATTTCATTTCTTTCAGTTTTAACAAAGCGTCACTTGCTGCAACATCAGAGATTCTTGTAATGAGGATGTGGCTCTGAATCATGCCTTTCTAAATTTCTGTTTTTCAGCTGTTTTGAGAGAAGTCTTGCTAGTTCTTGAATAC